ACTCTACTTGCTAATATACTGTCTATTCGATACGTATACTTGCATAGTAGAATTATAACTGACACCAAATAAGGAAAAAAATGTGGGATACATGTGTCTTGAATAGTTTAATGAATGACAAAATAAAATATAAAGTAAAGGTTGTGCATGAAATGTGATTGGATGACAAGGTGGTGGGTGAAATAAAGAATGAAGAAAGAAAGGATGAGGTAGTAAGGGTGGCAGATAGAATGAGTGAATGGAGGTGGATACTGAACAATGAGTAAAGGAGAAAATTGGTACATGAAAGATGAGTAGGTGACATGGTCCAATGAGAGATAAGGAATTAAAGAAGAAAAAAATGTGAGGAAAGGCTTAGGAAACTTGTGCCTTTGAGAGGAAAAAGAAAGAGAATTGGTTTTGAAAGCTTCACCTGAGAAGAAAGAAGAAAAAAGAAAAAAGGAAAGCTAGGAGGAGGTTCGGCCATGGAGAAGTTGGAGCAAATCGAGAGGTTTTCTTCCATCCGCCACTATTGAAGTTTAAAGGAAAAGTGGTGGTTTGGCTTAGTGATTCAACGGTAAAGAAGGTAAAAGCTGTCATTTTGCTTGAATGCATGCCTTGTGAACCGGTTGTGATGTGAAATTATGCTTGTGGTCGTAAGGATCTTCAAGGATTCAAAGAACTAGGTGCACGCATGTGTGTTAAGCTTAGAAGTATGGTGGTTTAAAGCAAGACAAATGTATGGTGGTTTAAAGCAAGACAAATGAGGGGTAAGTGTTTTTAACCTTGAGATCATAAGTGGAAAGGAAAAATGAAATGTGTAGTGATTATTTGTGCTTGTGGCAGCAATGGTGGCTGAGGATGTGAGGAGTTATTGAGTTGCATTTGGAATTCAAGGTAAAATCGGAAGGTAAGCATGCAATGTGGGTATGCTATGTTATATTTGATTAGTTGAAAGTTTATGGATTGAATGTTGGATTATTGTGAATGAAAAAGATGAATAATATGAACTTAGGTTAAAGATTCATTGGTTAAGATGCTGCCCATATATGTGTACAATTGAATATATACATAGAAGTAGAGATAATGGGAGAGGTCAGCTATAATGAGGAATTCTTGAAAATAAAGAGAGCTAACAATATGGTAAATAGAGCAGCAAATATGAGCCAAATTATGATGACGTTTACTAAATATATTAAGTTTAATTTGCTGCTAGGAAAGTGAGGAAAGATTGTTGTGGCGATGCATCAGAGGAGGTGACGGGTGACTGGCAAGCAATAATTAGTTAGAGATGCACTCGAATCAATGGCAAAGTAGCATCTTACCATTGTGAGGTGAGTAGGGGGTGCCTATTTTAAAAGTATTGTAAATTATATAATGATATACATATAATAAACGTTGTTGGTTTTCTTTAAATGCAATTGTGGATAGCATGAGTTGTTAGCTCCGGTAGGTGATTTCTAAATTGATTTGCAATCGGATTGTACTCACAATTTTGGATAACATATGCTGATAGAATGCTAGGCACTTGTGAATGCGATGCTTTTAGAAATGTTTTGTATATATATAAGCTATATATGTAAAGGGTTTTAGAAATCGAGAAACAAGCTCTTTACCACGGTTTATGTGAAAACGTGCCTTACTTGTTTTTATGATGTGCATTCATGAATAAGCTTTATGTTCACCATGTTTTGATTTAATATTTAAACAAGCTCCTCACAATTGGCACGTCATCCACCTCACTTACCATCATCTGGGTGTCCTTAACCAATGCCAAGAATCCCTGGCATCCATGATCAATCAATTTTCTAGCATCTAAGGCTGAAATCATAGTATCTGTCACCATACTACAATCCCTTTGGATACTAAATGGTTTCTCCCCTAAGCAGTTAAAGTGTACCATTTTGTAGTGGCAATCAACACAAACATAATTAGGTGACAACCAGTTCATACGCAATATCGCATCAAACTCGAACATGTCTAGTAAAACTAAATTTGCTGAAGTGTATTTGCTCTTAATTCAGATTGTATAGTCTCTATACACATGTCTTGCCATAAATGCCTTTTTCATGGGTGTGGTAACTACCAAGTCTTTCTAGATTCTCTGCACTGGGGTGAACTACCATCACCTTGACCCCTAGGTCTTTCAAACTCTCTATCAGTCTAAGCGGATACAAATGGGGTAGGAAAAGCTAGCTATTTCTGCCTCTGTGTCAAACCCTGAGTCCCTTAACCATTGGGACAATCTCTAACAAAATGACTAGTCAACCCCCATGAATAACAATAGGTGGATCCTTGGAGATATTGCCTTTTGTGCCACGTTTACATGACAAACATAATAATATATCTCTCCGAAATTATCTTATGGCCTGTTGCCTTGGTGGTTTGGCAACCTTCTTACTCTTTTTAGAATTGCCACTGGAAACACTCCCCTACTAGGATGTCTATGAACCTCTTCGTTGGCCCTACTGGCCCTCAATCCTAGCCTTTTTTTGGGCTTATCTTAACCTCTTATAGTTTACATATCTTTTATCTCTAGCCTCTGAGCATAATTCATTACCTTAGAGAAATTAGTGAACTCTTAGTGTGCTACGACCCCATGTAGAGGTCATACCAATCCAATAACGAACCTCATAAACCTTATCTCCTCAGTAGCCATTAAGTAGGGCACATATCAGGACAACTTAATAAACTTAAT